TGGACAGATAATTCAGAATAATTGGAAAGCTAAGAACACAAACATTACTGCAAAAGAAGATGCTCTGATACTGTACTGAAGTTGACAGGTTAGTAATGCACAAAAACAGGAAGAAATGTCTGTCCTAAGGGAAGCCATTATTTTTTATGAAGTTATGATGCTGTCTGATAGGTAATAAGAGCTATTCCCTCAAAATAAGACATCCGGCAGACCTGCTATTCCCTCACAGTTGAAAACCATAGTTTTCACCTTTAGCAGCAGTTATTTCTTAAACATCATTCAGTATACCATTCTTAAACTCATCCTCAGAATGATATGAAGGGAGGTTTAAGGTTAAGATAATTACTTAGCCAGGGCTCTCTGAGGAATTTCATTGTCTAAACACCAAAATCCTACCCATTGTATCACATTGGCCTTCCATTGTTGTATAGAAAATCTTGCTGCTTTTAATATGCTCTTAAGCAATAGGAAATGTTCCCTAAAACCTATAGAGTTACCATCCATATCTCAGGTTGACAACTCTAATATATGGAGCAGTATTCCTGGTTTATGCTCCACAATTATTGAACCCATTCACCAAACTAGCAGAAATTGCTTATAGATGTGTTTTCGGTCAATTGCCTGTCCCGTCAGTTCTCAATGATGTGTATGTTGAGAATCAACCTAGTACTAAGATGAAATACCAGCCATTTTCTATACTATATAATTATGCTGAATTCTCAAAGATGGTGGCTTTAGTGTTCCTTTAGTGGAACCCTAAATTTTTATCTGATTACTTTAGGATCTAAATCCATCATGACTGCAAGTTAATAGTTGTCCATGCAAGGACTAGATTCTATCTGGGCCCTATATTATACTCTGGTGGTACATAAATGCAAATAATAAATAAATAAAATATTTCAAAGGATGATGCATAGCAACTGGTATACTGGGATAAGCAACCTTTAGGGGCTGTAGGCACTTCTGGCAATGTTGGAAATTGTCCTGGGCACCACCACAAAATCATTGTTAAGGGAGGTGTGGCAAAGAACAAGTAACTTGCTCAAACACTTGTGTACAAAGTAAAGATGCAGTCTGAGCCCTGACACATCTGAATTCTCTTTTCAGCACTGATGGAAACCTATTTCACAAAAATTAAAAACATTAGAGCATGCTGCATCAGACCAAGGGTCTATCTAACATTCTCTTCACAGAGTGGCCAACCAGCTGTCCATAGGATCCCACAAACAGATTGTGAATGCAACAGCACTATCCTGCTCAAGTTTCCCAGCAACTGGTATACACAGTCATACTGGCTCTGATACCAAAGGAAACATTTGGCCATCAGGACTTGTGCCACTGATAGCCCTCTGCCATTTGCCCAATCCATTTTTTAAAGCCATCCGAATGGGTAGCTATTACTACATTTTGTGGAATTGCATTGCACCGTTTAAATATGTACTGTGTGAATAACTGCTTCCTTGATCTGTGCTGAATTTCTGACCAATCAGCTTCACGGGACAAGCCCAGGTTCTAGTATTCTTCACACCATGCATAATTCTTTACACCTGTATCATTCCTCCTCTTACCATTTTCCTAAGCTAAACAATCTCAACTGTTGAGCAACTCCTCTGTGAGGAAATGTTACAACATCCTTGATCATATTAGTTACCTCTTTCTACAATTTTTCTGCCTCTCCAGTATCCTTTCTTAGGTGCAATGACCAGAACCATCCATGGTATCTGATGCACACTCGCTCCATAGATTTGTATAAGGATAGTATGATATTAGCAGTTTTGTTTTCAGTTCCTTTCCTAGTTATGCTAAGCATGGAGTTTGCCTTTTTCAAAGCAACCATGCACTTGGGTCAACATTTTCATTGAGCTATTGACCACACCCTCAAAATCCATTTCTTGATCATACACTGCTTAGCTCAGATCCCATCTGTTTATACCTGAAGTTGGGGTTTTCCCCCTAATATATATTGCATTAGACTTGCCTAAATAAAACCATATCTGTCATTTTGCTGCCCATTATCCCAATTCAGAGAGATCCTTTTGGCACTCTTCTTAATATCTTTTAGTTTTACTCACCCTAAATAATTTCTGGCTGATGGTAAGAAATCATTGCTTTGAATCATTTAATTAGAAAGCACGTGGGAGGGAAAGACACTGTGGCAGACACCAAGAAAAATATGGCCAGGATACGTCAGTGCCCATGGGCTCCACATTGACTATGCCTTTTGGACTGTGTGTTCTGGACTGAAGTGAAACGCTCCCTCCTGCTACAGACAGATCTAATGATTGAACAATATATTCTTCAATCAAGGAAATAGGGAGGAACAAGTTATCCTCCTAGTGATGGGTATTATTAGAGTATGCCCTTTATTAGCCAGCCATATCAAGACTGATGATCTGTCCAGAAGGCTCATATGTGGGAGAAGTGACCCGCTGTACTAATTTGAGCTGGAGGAGGGGTCTGTAGCAGCACTAATGCTCCCAAAGAGTTGCAAGTTCCCCTCCTATTGTGACCTCCTAGTTCAACACCTCTGTTCAAATTACCCAGCCCTTGCTTGTGCACACATTGCCAAGTCCCTCTTCAATTGGTAACATGTGTGAGGAAAAGTGCCAGTAGTAACTAAATTTTGCAAACATGCTTTTATAACTAAGAATATATCCTCTGGCCTTTGGTCCTAGGATATATTATTTCATGTGCCACCGCCCTTATTAGCTCAGCAACGTTGTTGTTTCATATAAATTTCCTGATAGGTGATACATTTGTACTCTGTTGCAATTCATGAAACAAGTGGGCATGTGAAGCAGAACCGAGTATCTGAGTTAAATAATGCAATTAAAATTGGATTGTGGGACCAAGGTTGCAGTCAAACCCCTGATCAGTTCCTTATATTGGACATTTGAGATGATTTGGATGACTGTGCCTGTGTGTGTGAGTGAGTGAGTCAACCTGATGTATATGTATTTGAACGCTGTAAAAATGTGGGTGTGATGATTTCAGGCAAGGCTCATTTTTTTCTGTCCGCCAAAAGAGCTAATTCCATTAACAGACCATTAAGTGCATCCTCTACCTTGGCCAGGAAGGGATTCTTTTTAATATTAGTTTTCTGATTTTATCTCTAAGTCTTGCTTAAGTTCCAGTAAATTAGCTGGATTTATTGCAGGGCAAATGGTTTGACAAGCTAGTCTAGTCCCTAAATTAGGACAGCCTTCCCTACCCCAGTGCCTTCCAGATGGTTTTAGCCACAACTCCCCACCATCCCTAGCCATCATAGTAACTGCAGTCCAGCACATCTGCAGGATACTAAGTTGTGAAAGACTGAGTTTAGAAAGTATTTGGTTTTAATCTGAATTGGCTTTGAAATATATGCTGAGTTTATTTTAAATTTGCTATTAGTTTCAGTGTTATTTGATCACCATTTCAAATACAAATGTGGTTTCTCAGGGAAATTGGGAATGTAGGTTAAACTGCAGAATCCTTGAACATCCAGACTGCTTCAATTTGATGACTCAAAGTACCAAAAGAGTACCTAGAGAAACAGCATGGTTTGTGAAACCCAAAGTAATTACATGGGCTATGAAGTGTGATAAGATAAGAAACTGTTGGTTGTATAAACATATTCTTTCTCAAACTCTGATACTTTTTCCAGTTCAACTGTTAGCACTTGTTGGATCTCCAGGTGGCCTTAGGTATTGGTTCTCCCCACAATTCCACTTAGCCACTAATTCCAGGGAATGTGCTGTTGGCTTTTGTTTACTTAGCAGAAGAAATCAAATACCCTGTGGAGGTGAAGGCAAAACATGTTTCCTCTTCTGTTGCTTGGTACATGATTAATTCAATCCAAGTTGTTTTCATGAGATCCTACAGATTACAGGGGCGGGAATCTGGGTTCAGCCTCTCCCAGGAGCTGTCCAGTGATTAAAGCAAATCTGTGGTTGCAGCCTTGGCTGCTCACTAGCACACAATGTTAATCCATGGAACATGACGGCAATACACAAAGCTGCCAGAATGCTGCTTTCTCCTTTAACCCTTTTTCCTTCTTGTCTGCTTCTCTGGTGTCCTAAAACCTGGTTCTGTCTCTCTGAACTGTCCCTGAATCTGTGCAAGGGTAATGGGAGAGTCCCTGCCCTGTTGCACTTGGGACTTTTCCAAAGTAACCTTTTGTTAGTAAGCAGCACTCTTAAACCAAATGGCTTAACCTTCCTTGAAACTGAAATGTTCTAATTATACCTGAGCTAATAATGGGAAATGTAATACATAAGTCACTTTGCCTTGATCATCTTTGCCTTGGGGTATCAGTTGAAAGCTCTCACCCTCTCAAGTAAGGTCCCAATACCACTCCTCTCATGCCTTTTCCAGAGAAGGTACAACCCTTTTTTGTTCTAGAGTACATATTTCTGCCATGGTGACATTTTGGATTCTCCATTTTGTTAAGAACAGAGGTCTAGAAGAATGTAAGTTTTAAACATAAGGTTTAAATTTTGTATGAAATGAGGAGATTGAAATTTTCATGTTCCATGATGGAAGTCAAATTGTAATTAATACAAAAGCATCTTCATGGTAAATTTATTTTTAATTCCTTTCTTACAGGTTGTTGACCAGTATTGAAATAATGCAATGAAAGTTAAGATTCTAAGTAAGAAACTGATATTCTGCCTCATATAGTGACTGTCCAGCTTTCTCTCTCTGTCTCACTCCCCACCTCCTTCTCTCTCTCTCTCTCTCTCTCTCTCTCTCTCTCTCTCTCTCTCTCTCTGAGAGACAGACAGACAGACTCTGCATTTCTGGACAGGTTAGAGGGAGTGGTTTTTCCCCAGGAGATGGAGCAAAAGGATCTTAAAGCAGCTTCGTAACACCTGGTCACATTGTGGCAGCTATTTCTGCAGAAACATTCAACATTGCAAGCTTCTCTTGCTTTTCCATAGTCATTACTTGCACAATTAGTTAACTTCTACAAATTTATTCAGGTTCTAGTATTGATTCGGTTTGCCTGTTTTCTTTCTAAGGATGTTTTACTGCTAAGTCAATTTATACGCTCTGATGGAGGGATGCTACCCAAGAGGATCACAGGTCTTTGTAGGACAGAGCACAGAAAGATTGCAGTTTGTGTGCAAATGGCTCAGCGAGCAGGTAAAAGTGCCTTTGTTGAGAATATGTTGTGTGGCACAGCTGAATTGCCAAAGTTAACTGGGATTCACTTCACCCTAAAATGTCATAATCTGAAAGATTTGCCTTTCCTGGTTTCCTTGCTTCTAAAGTAAAAGTATCTGTCATCACAGCTGAGTTGCAGTTCTGTAGCATTAGAATTTTGGGAACAGCGGATAGTTTTAGTACAGATATGAACTTCTAGCTGATTAATGGCTATTGGTTCCTTGTAAATTACATAGGTTTTGAGATATGTGTGTGCATATAACAATTCATAACAAGCTAAGTCAAGCAAATGGCTTAACATTGTGCAGCCCATACTCCAGATATACTAACCAAATCAGGAGCATCTCATCTTCCATTCATCTCTGAATGTTTTTTGGTCTTAACATTACTTAGTCTCCTATAGGTTGTTGTAACATAAACCTTTCAGAAGCCCACTGAAAAGTAAACTGTAGGATTCTGTGTTGGAGTGTGCATTGTCTGTATTTCTAATTTAGGTGATTGGAGTTAATAATATTTCAGTACTTACAGGAAAACTAGAAATCTATTAGGCTTTCTAATAGACCATAAGTATGAAATCTGCCTGAGATCTTGAAGTTTTGAGCTTTGACCATGTTTCCTACCCATACAAGTTTAGAAACTTTTAAAATTGTGGATAGTTTCTTTTGAAATGTCTTGAAACTATATGAGTCAGCTTCCCAGTGACTAGAGTCAGGCCCTTGCCTTCCTATTATGCCTTTCCAGTATTTGACTTTTACTCTGAGTCCAGAGCCCAGTTAGGTACAAACATAGGTACAGTTCAGAATGTCTATTAATTTTCATTCCAGCTGATGCCTCAAGTTATCCTCCTCCTTTTCCTCCTCTCAGGTTTATTACCAGATCATAGGCCTAAACTTCCTGAAGGTTTTGTCTCAAAGAGCAAGAAACCAAAGCTCAACAGGTCAGTTGTCTATCTTAGAGAATGGACAGAGGGTTTTTGTGTTGTTGTTTTTTTATTGCTTTTTCAGAACTGAAGACAGTGAACAAGATCTTTTAATGTAGAATTTCTCAAACTTGAGGAACAGGCCTCTCTAGGACACATATGCCAGGGTACAAGCATTTTAATGTCATCCTGATCTTTGTTTGTTGTAATTAAGGGGAAGTGAGAGTCACAGTAATAATCCTGCTGGATTTGCTGCAAAGAAAGAACGAGATTGCTAATTCCTGACTGCTGCAGGCTTGGTTGTCAAATGCTTGAGGCAAAGTGGGCCATAGTAATGAGATGTCTAGGAACTAATTGTGGGGGGGTGGTCTTAAGACATGGGGGCTGTGCTTGAAGGACACAGGAGAAAAACCATTAGCTCAGTAGAATGGCACCTTCTTTCTCCACTTACTCTCTGTCCACTCCCCTTTATTCTTCTACCCTGTTCCAACTTGGAGGAGGCCAAGTACAATTGAACAGAAATGGCATAGTGGCAAACAGTCACTACAGCATTCTGTGCTGGTGCAAGCTATGAAATAGACAGGCTGTCTAGGTATTAGCAGTGGGTGGTGGAAGGGACAGGAAGGAGGAGCTCATTAGATTTGTTGCCCTCTTTGTCCTGTGCCTGGTTCTCTTTTGTCTGCTGTTTGTAGTTCACTTGCAGTTTGCCCTTCCTCTGTTGCACTCTTCCTTCTCTATCCTGCTCTCCCCTGTTGCTGAGCATCCCCTTGCCCCTTAATGGAGGAACTTAAGCCCCCTGTTGCCTCTTTTGCTTTACTCTGTGTTAAGAGGTGTTAATCCCCTATTTATGACCTCGCCTTCAGTTTCCATGGGGATGTCAGAGCAGTTTATGAAGTTCATATTAGCAAGCTGCGGGGTTACTAAAGGCCACAGACATGTTGCTTGGGAAAACAGGCACTCTACGTTTCAACATAAGTTCCTCATGTAGTGTGGGTTTGGTTTTGGCCCTCCATAGTCCACTTCCCAAGGATGTTGTCATGCCAGCATTTTTCCCTGAAGATCATGCTCTAGGCAAAAATGGTGATCTGTGTAGAAAATCTAGATTTGATGCAAGCTTGCCACTTGAAAAGAATAATTCTCTCCATTAGAATTTGGATTATAGTAGTAATGATGTGAGTGATGTTACATATTCTGTGGGGGGGGGAACACAAGATAATTCTTTTTTCATATGGATGTTCATCACTTTTGGAGTATAATTTACTATTCCTTATTTACTATGTATTTTTAGGAATATCTTTTACATATGTGTATATTGATATGTTACCATTTATAAAATAAACCCTTTAAATAAAGGATTCCTGCTGCTCCATAACTTTGCTTTAAAAAAAAATCCAGTCTGCATCTGAGAGTTTCACACAAGAGGATAAGGTGACTCAGCTGTACTGAAATAATGCCTACTAGATGAAGGCAGGAAGTAATTAACTCTGAGCCATTCCCCACCACCACCCCCAGTGGAACAGAATAGGGTTTTAAACCAGACAACTTTATTTTAGAAAACTTTTATAGTAACTAAACTGGAAAAAGAAGTAGCTGTTCTGATATCACATTCACATCAAAGTTAGTTTAAGTAACTCTGTGTCTTCCCATGCCCTTATTTTCCTTTGTTTTTTCCTACCAACAAAGCAGCTGGGAGAGCTGAAAGAGTGGGAACAGATGTAAGGATGGTAGTGAAAGAGAAAGTCGGGAATGGATCTGGCAGCAGGGCTAGCCACCCAGGGAGGAACAAGAAGTAACTATGGCAGAAACATTAATAGAGTGGGAAGCTTTTAGAAAGGTAAGCAGTTACTAGAGTTAGGGTAGGGATAGGGGCTTAAGGTTGAGCTTGTTAAGGCATTTTTAGGAATGCTGTTCCAGCTCATCAAAGTATTGTCTATCAGCTGGAGGTAGAAAGCTCTGCATTTTTGGAGACTTGCCATGTCTCAGCTGCAGCAGCAGCACTGAGGGTTTTGGCTTTGTGCCCACCCCCACCTGAGCCTCCCACGTTGATCTCTAGAACAGCCAGTGATGCAGAAGACAAGAGACGTTTTAACCACTTCCTTTCTTCAGTGCTAGGAGGTTAGATCAAGGCACTCATTCCAGACTGCCATGTCCCATATTGCTCAGCATGGTATGGAAAGAGGTGATTGCACTGAGGGCACAAAGTTTCCATTTCCAGCTGTATGATAGTCTTGTTGAAGTACGCCCTTGTTCAGTGCTTCTCACTCTTGCCTACATCATCCGTAATATCATAAGAACCAAAAGGCTTCAAAGGGTGATACCCTGAGCTCTGGAATAGCTGGAGTGAATGAAGAGTGCTAGATGACTAGATTCTTGGTTTTGAATTTCTTGTTCCTCCCTGGCTGACTAACCCTGTTGTCAGATCCATTCCTATTGTTTCATATTGTGACTCTCTTCCTCTTGACCATTTCAACTGCCATTCCTGCCAGTGAGCTAATGGATATTGAAGTGCCAGCTTTCTAGAAAATTTGATGAACAATTGGAGGCATTAAGGAAGCTTTTCCCAGGCTGATTTATTTATTTAACTATTCAAGTATTTCTAGGCCCCCTATAATCGCCAAGGCCTTCCTCATGTTCTCCAGCTGAACCACAGCTGCCATCATTCCTTGTCACCCTGTCCAGGAATGATAGGAGTTGCCACTCAGCACATCTGAAGTGCTCCAGATTTAGGAAGGCTGCCTTAACTATAGTTATGGCAGAATTTTAGGCATTTTTAGAAGACCATTTTTAGAAGATCCTCCAGGCTTCTGATTTTGCTGTCAGGTGACACACCATTGCAACTGTTAGTATAGCTTCTCTAGACCTTTTCATTTCACTTCCCATCCTCAACAGAGATAGCGAAAGCAGAAACAGATGCATCTTACATGCTGCTCAATCACGACCATGCCGCTTTGTGCTGATCCCTTCACAAATGGCTCTCCCTCATACTGAGTAGTTACCTGAAAGTTCTGCAGTCTCCACATCCTTGCTTTATTGAATGAGCTGGTAATCCCTGCATCTGAAATGCCATGTTCAGGCATCTGAAAAATCCTCCAAAGAGGAATCAGAAACATGGTAGAGCACTTTTGCAATGCAGCACAATGAGTCTTTGGAGTCCTCCTTGCTGGAGCTTGATTAGGTTGCCTTCACAAGAATAGAAGGCTACTTCAGCTTCTTTTTGCCATGCTGTTATTGTTGTTTAATGCATGGGAGTATGTTCCATAAAATAAAGTGAACTGGAATTAAATAGGACTAAGGTGACGGAATACCTAAAATCTTTTATTGACTCACATGCATGCACACACAACTTCCTTTCAAGACATCATCTGACAGGTTCATACATTGAAACAAACCGACCCAGAAGGCTTCTTCCCAAAGACAGAAGCAGTTGTCCTGTGTCTGGAGGACAGAAATATTCAGGAAAGGGCTTGTGGAGGACCTATTGTCATGATAAAACCAGTGGTTCAGAAAGAGCATGTATTCCTGCTCTCACTTCTTCTGTTGCTGTGGAAGTAGACAATATCAGGTGCTTGCTAAACAGAATTACCTCCCTCCACAATCTGTTAAGAAGTATATGTTAAATCCATAGAGGCTCCATGAAAACAGCAAGCAGTGCTACTTGAAAAGGTCAAAACTGAGAAACTGTCTCTACCAGAGCGTACGTGTGTGTGTGTGTGTGTGTGTGTGTGTGTGTCCATCCATGTGCCTACGTCTTTTCCCTTATAGGCACAGCCATTCAGACTGTTGACTCTTGCATCTCATTAATAAAATGGAAAACTCTCACAGAATGGAGGGCAGGCTAGGAATAGTTTGACTTCATGGGAAATTCAACTTTACATGTAACAGTTAAAGCCTTGCCTCAACCTGAAGGCCACTCTCAGCACCCATTCCCCTTCAGAATTCCTCTCATAGTTTCCTTATGCAAAGAGATAAGTAGCCCATTGAGGTCTTTGGCCTGGTGCCCTGACTTGACAATGATTTAGAACATACTCTCTCATGGAAGCAAGTGAAAGAGTAGGAATTGATTTTATTCAGCTATGAAAGCTGGTTGAAAATAAGGAAAATAGAGGCTTATGTGCCCATTTATTGTTTATGTCTGGGGCAATTTGCATAAGCTTCCCCATTGTGTGCTTATAGGACTAAAAGCATGGGGCAGGGTGATATAGCTTCATCCTGAATTTCTATAGAAATAGATTACATAGGTAATCTACCTTGGATGATAATTCTATTTCAAAAAGTGGAAAGAACATCAATGGAGTATAAGACTCCTGTTAAATTCTGCATCTCTGCAAACACCCCATGCACACTTGGGCCGCCTGCCTGCCTGTACAGATTCTCTGCACAGCTGTACCCAAGTTCTTCCAACACAAGGATTTGGACACAATCCTATCCCCACCCAGCAGGTGCAACTCAGGATTAGGAATAAGGAGTTAGCCATTTGTGCCACAGGCTAGGCTAGTTTATAACAGTCCACTAACAGTGGTGTTTTCATAGGTTTCCAGCAAGAGTTAATTCATATTTTTGTCGTGACTAATAAAAGTAATTAAGACCATCCTCTATTCTAATATTCTTTATCCCAGTGGTACAATTTTTGGATTATATTTCATGCTCTATCTCGTCATACCTTTATCTCCAGTCTCAGTTTCCAAAAAAGCTTCAGTAAAAGTAAAACAAGAATATATGAAAAAGATTAGCACTTGGTAAATGACCTCACTAAAATTGTGTATATGCTTTAATAGGAGGATTTCCTTTAAACATAAACTGATGTTAAGCTTTCAAAATCCATATTTCTTTGAATGAAAAATATGTTTCTGGGGATGGGTACATCTGAAAACAGAGTGGTTCGATGCCCCTTCCAGTCTTTTGATCATTTCATACTTTGTCATATGGCTATTGAATATCAAATTTGAATGTAATTAAACTGATCTTAGATCAAATAGCTAAGTCCCCTAAGAGCTTTGAAGGGAATAATAGTTGGCGGT